TTTTTGAGACAGGATCTCGCTATGCAGTTCAGGCTGGCCTTGAGCTCACTTTGTAGCAGGTCTCAAACTCAAAACAATCCTCCTGTCTCAGCCTCCCGAGTGCTGGGAGTACAGGCATGTACCAGCAGCAGTATTTCTTTTCTTATAGGAGCACTTGAAAAATTTACTGAGGCACTAAGAGTGCCAGAAATTAAGTTTGAGAACTTCTGGCATACACTGGCCCTGTGACTTCACACTAGTGCAGGAGAGAGTAGTGCAAACACTGTGATCAAGTCCAGGGCCAAGTTGGGCTTCAAGGACTGATCCAATGTGGTCCAGGGCACAGCACCCCCCCACCCAGCCCCCTTGCAGGTGTTTACTCCTAATAGCACTGTATTCTTTTGGAGATAGGATCTCAGTATGTTGCTCAGGCTGGCCTGAAACTCTCAATCTTCCTTCTCAACCTCCTGAGTAGCTGGGATTATACGCTTACAGGCATGTACTACCATGCCCAGCTCCCTAATAGAACTTTTTCTTTTCAGTACTGGGGTTTGAATTTAGGGCCTTTGCCTGATGCTTCCTCCAATTTTTTTTTGTTTTATTTTGTTTTGTTTTTTTCTTTTTGAGACAGGGTCTCGCTCTTGAGTTCAGGCTGGCCCTGAGCTCACTTTGTAGCTCAGGCTGGTCTCGAACTCACAATGATCCTCCTGCCTCAGCCTCCTGAGTGCTGGGATTACAGGCGTGTGCCACCATGCCCAGCTAATTTTGTGATTTGAGACAAGGTCTTGTTGAGTCACTGAGTTGCCCAGACTGGGCTCAAACTTGTGGTTATCCTGCCTCAGCCTCCCAGAGATTGTGTTGGGATTACAGGCATGTACCACCATGCCCAGCTCCCAGTAGAACCTTAATCGTAGACATCAAGATATAACTCCGTATCTCAGAATCAGCACAGGGCTTGGAAAACTGAGCAGCAGAAGCCTAAATGCTGTTTCCTCTCAGGGGCAGAAGAAAGAAGATAGCCACAGCTGAAGAGAAGGGGAGGTAGCCCACTGAGAAGGCTGGGAGGGGTCACCGCCCGGTCTGAGGGGGAGGTCCAGGCCACACCCACCTGTGGAAGACGGCTGAGCAGTCTGTGCACACAGACGTGTGGCTGTCGAATGGGAACAGCACATCACCCTCTCTGCAGAGCTCACACACGAAGCCCTTGGCCTGGCACCGCTGGCAGGGAGGGGAGGGGAGACACCATGGGGTTGGGTGGGCAGGTAATGCCAGCTAGGTAGGAAAGGAGTGGCATGGGATTGGGGCAGCAGATAGTACCAGCCTGGTAGGGAAGGGAGCAGCCCATGGGGCCAAGCAGGCAGGGTACCCTGAGCTGAGCTGCTTCTCCTGCCAATGCCAGCCCTCAGGGCTGGAGGCAGAAGTAGCCTGTGGTCTCCCTGGATCCCATCCAGCATGCAGGAAACTGGAGGCCCACCTCGCAGTCCAGCTTGATATGCTTGGCAAAGAGTGTGTGAATCTCAGTGAGGGAACAGCCGAGGCGGCCCAGGTGCACGTCCAGCAGGTCCTGGATGGAGTACATCTCATCGTTCTCCACAAAATGCTGTCGGTCCTGGAGCTGCCAAATCCCCACAGCTGTGACCCTGGGCACAGGCAAAGGCCCCTTCCCACCACACTCACGGCCGCCCCCAGGCACGGGCAAAGGCCCCTTCCCACCACACTCACGGCCGCCCCCTTGGTGGGCAACCAGCTCCAGCAGGGCCTGCATGTGGGTCCAAGAGCAGAACCCAGGGGTGTGGGGAAGCTAGGAGGGAGACGGCAGGGCCACCTTTCCTCGTCTGTGGCACCCACTCCTGGCCTCTCCAAGCTATACTTCCACCCAATTGGGGTTTCCCGTGACCTTGCTGTCTCTTGTCCCAGAGGTGTCTGCTTGTCCCCCAGACATACCACTTGTTTTCCTTGCACACTCAACCTGATGGGTGCTCTCCAAATGTAAGGATCCCTGCTTGTATTGTCACTGCTTCCCAATATCTAAGAAGAGTCACTGAACAATACATGAGCCTGAACACTCATGTTTTGTGTGGCCCCCCTCCAGGCAGATTCATATACAGGCTGCAGGTGATACTTGCTTATCTTAGTTTCCCAAACTGAGAAAACCGGAAAAATTTTTGTGGATTCTATATGATTGCTTGTTATAGACCTAGTATTCCTGGGACAGAGTCTGGGAGACCTACTCAAAGCACAGTGCACCCAGCTACCAAGTGATTGAGTAAGCTCTGCAGGTGAGGTGTTCCTGTCCCCAGTTTCTCTGGCCAGTGCCTCTGGCAGTCTGACCTGCAGCAGCAGCCGGGCTTCCATGGCCTCCTTGCAAGTGATGAAGTATGGCTTCATGAGCAGAATGTCCTGGCGCAGCTTCTGTGGACAAGAGCAGCAGGCAGGCTCCTCAGTCAGGACTTAAGATGCGGACACAGTCACGGGGGAAGGCTGAGGGACTGGCCCTACTGGCTTCCTAAGAGTCATGTTCACAGCAGCCTCACCTATACTCCAGGTGATGGCAAGCTCAGTAGGGGATGGAGAAGGTGGCCTCATATTCCCCAGGATGGTCCCAGACCTGAGTCCTCCTGGTAAGCTCAGGTTCAAATCACAGCTCCAGGATGTGCAGAATCCTGAAGCTCATTTAATGCTACCACCCACCCCATCTTCTGTTCGCTCTGTCCAGGAGCCTAAGGGCAGCACAAGGCACACTTGACTCATTCCATGTCATGACCCCTATGTGCCCCTCGTGTTCCAGCCTCATCCCTCATGGGCCCTGTCGGCCACAGCAATCCAACTCATTTGCCTCAGCCTCCTCCCGTGTTCCACAGAATCAAACCTTTTCCGCCCACCTTCAGAGACACTGTCACCTCCCACCACCATTTCTCTCCTGGCTAAAGGTGCCTGCAAGCCACACTTAGAAGTAGCTGCTGTGACTGAGCTAGGAATCCGCAAAAAACAAAAGACACAGTACAAAATAAAGACCACCATACAAACATCACCATGATTTTGAAAACTGCACACTGAAATAAGCTTTTGGATATACTGGGTTAAAGAAAATATATTACTAAAATTAACTTCACCTGTTTCTTACTTTTTTTTTTGAGACAGGGTCTCCCTGTGTAGCCCATGCTGGCCTCCAACTTGTAGTGATTCTCCTAGGTCAGCCCTCGGAGTGGTGGGATTAAAGGCGTGCCTAGCACCACACCAGGCCTCTTTTTAGTTTTTTAATGAGGCTACTAAAAAAGTTAAAATTGTCTTCATGCCTGGCATCAGATTGATTCCAGACTTCTAGTACCTTCAATCCAAAGGATATCAAGGGGGGCTGGGGATTTAGCTCAGCGGCAAAAGCGCCTGCCTGGCAAGCGCAAGGTCGTGAGTTCGGTTCCCAGTACCGGAGAAAAACCAAAAAAATGAAATAAATAAAAACAAAGGATATCAAGGGCTGTATCTCTCCTGGGCTCAACCTGCCCTAGTCCTGAGGCCCCGAGAACGTGGCTCCACCCAACCAGGGCCCAGCCCCAGCCTCACCCGGATCTCCACCAGCTCCTCCACATAGTTGAACAGCAGCGGGTTGATCTCCCGGAGCCGGAGCACTGGCCGCGACACCATCAGAGTCAGGTAGCGCATGCTGCAGCGAGACACCTGCAGGGAGCTGAGTGGCCACACCCTGCCCCTCCCCCCTCAAGACACATCCTTAAACTGCCCCGCTCCTGAGCCTCAGGGCATGCCCCCCATCTGCTCAGCAGCCCAAACGCTGGCCCTACCTTGCGTGGCTCGAAGTCCCAGTTATGCACCACACGCGCAGGGATAACAGCCAGGTCGTTCCAGTGGCAGTGGCTGCAGTAGTACTGGCCTGTGTAGTCGCACTGTCGCGCTTCGCTGGGCACGCCCCCTGAAGCGGCAGGTCAGTCAAGGTCAGGGTGGCCCTCAGTTCCTGCTTTACCTGTTTGCATGGAGGGCCTGCCTTGCCCAAGTCCAGCAGGGGTCCCAACCTCCAGACCCACCCCACTGAGCTCACTGTGAGGCCCTTACAGATTAGGAAAAGGCACACGGTGTCAGCACAGTGTCCCAGAGACCCACTAGTGCTCCTTCATGGGGTCCCTTCAGCAGTCCACTGCCAGGGTCCTGCTGTCCCCTTTCCTGATGAGCAAACTAAGGACACTGAGACAGTGGGACCGCCCTACGGGACCTGACAAGTCATGAAACAGGTGGAATTCAGGCTGCTTCTGTAGGCAGTGAAAAATGTTACTGACTGCCCTGTCACTTCCCACAAAGGGTAGGGACTGCCTGTCCCCAGGGCCTTACTCAGCAATCTAACTTCACCAACTTTCTCACCACCCTCCGTGCACGCCCCCCTGCACATCTCCCTCACTCCACCCTTTCCCAGCCACCACTCACGCAGAGAGATGGGCGCCCGGCACTCAGCACAGCGGTAATCCTGGCTGTCCAGCCCTGTCTCAGGGCAGATATTCAGCTCATACTCAGCCTGGTGGCTAACTTTGGAGCTCACACAGGGCTTGGAGATGAGGTTCAAGCACTTGCTGTGGCAGCGGTAATAGCAGCCTGGGGTTGGGGGACAACCATGCCTCTTAGAAACAGAGAGAGATCCTGCAGCCCAGGCTGACCTCAGCTGGCCACTCCCCACCCTCCACAGGCCCCAGTGTCCAGCCTGATCCAGACCTTCTGGCATGGCTGCAGTAGATCCTCGTGCCTCCATCCCTGGAGTCTTACCTCCCATCTCCAGACTCATGTGTTCTGCCATTCCCACCCATCGAAGTTGAGCTGACCAAAGGAATTTGCATTCTTCTATCTCCACCCTCTTCTCCCATTTCCCATCTAGGATTTCAGCTCATCCTCCCAGGATGAGACCAAATCTCCTGAGTCATGCTGACTCCTCCTTAGCTCTTACACTGCACTTTCAAGTCTTCAACCACCACTGACCTGTCACTTCTCACTCCATCCACTCACACAGCCATCATTCTCCCCACAGCATCGGCCTTTGCAGCTCTACCCTTCCTCCTTCAGCCATGCTCAACTCTGCAGCCAGAGTTTAAGAGCCCCCCTTGGCTCCACCACACTTCCAGGAAACCCCTCAGCCCCCAAGCCTGCCTCAGACATGTGTTGAGCAACACTGCACTCTGCTCCCCCTTGAGGACAGTGGGCACACAGAGACCACAGGGCTCCCTGATCAAAATGTTCCTCGCAAGCTCTATGCCAACTTGCTCCCTGAACTGCAAGCATTTACGTAAATGTTACATGAGGATTTCTCCCCCTACCCTAAGGTCGTTCCCACTCTACCCCAACATACTATGTATTCCCTGTCCCTGTTCCTTTGCTATGACTGTCTGCAGGTCACATCATTTTACTAGTCTGATTTGTCATCCAGAATACCATCCTCAAGAATTTCTCCAATGATGGAAGTGTTCTCTCTGCACTACCTAACATGATAGCCACCAGCTTCATGTGGCTACTGAGCCTTGCCATGTAATTTGTACAGCTGGGCAGCTTTACATTCAGTTCATCTAGATTTAAGTGTGAGTACCCCTATATGGCTAGTGGCCACCATACTGGACACTCCAGATCTGATGTGAGGCCAGGGAAGGCAGGGACCTTGATCTCTTCTGTTTCTCATAGCTCCAGCACACGGCAGAGTGCAGTCAACTGAGAACACTAGAAAATTTGCCTGAACACAGCCCACACATGGGAACAGAGCTATGGGTATCTCTGCCCTGCCCTGGGACCTAGGCTGCATGCCCAGAGGAAGTAGGCCTTGGCCCACCTGTGCAGGTGTACCAGGTCTGAATGAGCCCCCAGATGATGGTGTTGCACTTGTCACAGGTTTGCTTGACACTCTTGCTCTTCTCCTTGTAGAAGCGGTGCTCCAGAAGGACTCGGATATTGGGCTCATCTTCATTAGGGTCCTACAGAGGTGGGTCAGGGAAGAGTCAGGGAAGGGGTTCAGTCAAATCCTGCAACATATTTTTTCCAGACACCATTTGTCACAGAGCCTGTGTACTTCAGCCCTCTTCCCTTTAGCAACAGAAGGCTGGTCAGTCAACTGCGGCCGGCAAGATCCCACACTGCCCTTCCCAGTAGCTGCTGCATGGGTCTGCATGGGGACCAGGGGCTAATAAGCAGGAAGTATGTGGCCTTTGCCTTTCCTTCCTTTGATGATTGGGTACAGACCAAGATGTGCTGCGGGGCCCAGGGAGGTGACAGCAGCAGGATAATCAGGATCTCTAGCACCACTAGTTGGTATGTGGGCCGGGACTGCCTTTGGGAGTTTTTTCATGAAACACGTTATACACCTATATTCTTTAGACCAGTGTATTTTTGGATGTTTCTCACCATAGCCACACCTATCTCCTAATGAACAGTCCAGTTTCTAAATTCCCCAGGGACCATGAGTCAGTATTGGAGACACAGTGGCAGCCAAGCCAAAGAACACAGACTTGGGGCAAGATGGTAGACATCTGCGGGTTTTGTGCTCTGGGTTCCCTTACCTCTTCCTGTTGTCACCTTCAGGAGACCACCCCTCCTAATGTAGGTCCTAGGGCCTGAGGAGGGATTTGCTGCAGTGGGTCAAAGCCCAGAACCAGCTGAGCACTGTGACTATCTCAGGGCCAACCTGTCAGTCACCATGAGTGATCCTTGTGGACCCAGAGCTGACTCTGTCTATTAAGGGGACCACTCCATCTGCACAGGATTGCTGAGCTGGTGGGAAGACAGTTCCTGTTGCTGAGACTATGCCTGCCTGCACAGGGAAACCCTACGTGTGGGCAGAGCTGGCACAGAAAGCACATGACAAAAGAGGGCAAGTTTCCTGGCACGGGAGGACCTTTCTGCTAATAAGTGTTTTCCTTTCTGTTTCTATCCACTGCAACCAGGACGGTCCAGACTAAAAGGAAAACAGCCTGCATGTGGGGTGAGGGCCGCATTTTTGACCCTGTCTTTCTGGACACCTTGTCACCTCAGCCCCTCAGTGAACTGAGGCAGACTCATCCCTGTGGAGGGACCCTTAGGTGGCCCCATCCATCTGCTCCCCAAGACCAGGGCTGGGCCTAGGGTCCCTCTGCAGTATGCAGCCTGACACCCACCTTCAGCTCCTGCAGCTTCAGCCGGAGGTGGATGAGCCTCACCACCGCGTCCTTCTGCCTCTCTGACTGCTCAGGTAGTTCCAGAATCACCTGCTTACATTCTTCGATTGCTTGGCGCAGCTGCTGCACATCAGAGGCCAGGAACAGACCCTGCCAAGATCAGGAGCAGTCAGTGGGCCATGCCGCAGGCACGTGTAGGCACTGAGAGGCTTGGAGTGTGAGCTGCACAGTCAGCACCTACCCCCCAGCCCTACACCACATCTCACAGGCCTCTGAAGACCAGCTCAGGACAGTTAAAATTCCACTTCCTTCTTTTAGAAAACCAATTGCTTTTTTGGCTGTGCCATTTCACTCACTTCTAAAAAGCTTCCCCGTGGAGGAAAGCTGGGGAAATGACATTGACTGTCATAAAAGAAAGTGGCCTCTGACTAAACAGCCAAGCTCAGGCAAAGTAGACTGGAGGTGACCATCCAGATCACGATGTATCACTGCACTCTACACTGATCCTGATGCCACCAGGGAACAGCTCAGTCTCAGAGGTGGGAGGTCAGGATCACCAGCCTCAGCAGCATCCTTCCTTACACTGGGATCCAGAGACCCAGGCAAAGAGGAAGTAACCCTTCTCTCTTCCTTGGAGCTCAGTCTTCAGCAAAAAGGAAGTGCTCAGAAATGTTATAATAAAGATACACAACACATATATGCAACAGCAAAACTGACAGGTCACATTTACAAACTGAAAATGAATTCAAGCCAGGAATGGTGGCACATGCCTGTAATCCCAGCACTCAGGAGGCTGAGGCAGGAGGATTGCCAAGAGTTCGAGGCCAGCTTGGGCTACATAGTGAACTCACGGCCAGCTTGAACTACACACACAAAAAAATAAACATAAACTAAAATGAATTCAAACTGAGGGGCTTCTCATCAGATCTTTTTAAAGTCACATTGTAATGCTACTACGTTTCTTTCAAAAGGTAGAGATGCACTGTGTAAAACTAAAAGATTTTCAAACATTTTTAATTGTCAGAGCTCCACTCTTTCTCCTTGAAAACAAGCTCTCCATGAGACCAAATACAGAACAGCAAGGTGGCTCTGTGGTGCAGAGTGGCTAGGGGGAAGCACACAGGGGCTCCTCCCTCCCACGTAAACCTCCATCCTTGGTCTGACCCCAAGGAGAACCACCTTTCATGTCTGCTTCATAGAACCTGGAGCTTTGGGGAAAGAAGCCCCTGGGCCCCAACCCCAAGCCCATGCTGTCTCCACCTGCCCTCAGACAGGCTTCCAGGTTAGGTGTCAGGGGTATTTGAGGTCCAGGAGATGGCTGGGCAGGGGGGGCGGGTGGCTGGTGAGCCAGACAATGGCAATGCACAAGGAGGAAGACTGTGCCCAGGTCATGAGATTGTCTACTGCCATGTGGGAATGCGGTGCCAAGGAAACCACTGTGCCCGAGTATTCTGGGGCCCAGCCTCTCCCCTCCTAGACCCCAGACTTTACCACAGGGCGGGAGAAGTGGTCCTCAGACAGACCGAGATCCATCACACGCTCAGAGCAGCGGAACTCAGGTTCCCCGGGGGGCAGCTCAGGTGGGATCTCTGGAGAAGAGGACAGGTATGGAGGGGTCAGGGGCAGGCAAAGTTCAGCCCGCTGCCTCTGCTTCTGTTCCCCAGGAAGTAGGCAGGAAGGGACCAGCGAGCCCACAAGAAGGAAGCAGCAGGGAGCTCAGCACACCTGCGGGTTTGTACTTGAGAAGGGGCCCAGATGACTGGTATCTTGCACAGTCAGGAAAGCGCCATCCAAACAGGGGGGATGGAACAACCCACAGCGGCAAGGAGACAGAGTTGCTCAAACACCCTGACTCTGAGACAGACAGCTCGTGTGCGAGGTGTGGGCTCAGACGGGCCACGACGACTCCACCACAAGGCCCACAGTACCCTGCATGGACCCCAGGCCATCTCTGCTACCACTCTGGCCCCAAATGTGCCCTGTGACCTTCTCTGTGATTCCTGGGCCCACTCCCTTCCAACCCAAAAGATCCACTAACCTCTTCCACGGATCTTGGCTCTCAGTTTGTCCCCCGAGTGTTGGCTGAGCCTGCCATGTGACCTGCCAGCCCTCTGAACTGCTCTTTCAGGTGGGGGAGGCAGAAGAGATCCGCAGAGCAGATAGAAGGGGTAAAGGAAGCAGCCAACACAGCTCGCCCGAGGCAGGAAAGTCAAAACTGAGCTCCATGAAGCGGAAAGAACGAAGGGGTCCACAGTTCCCACTTCCCCATCACCCACCTTCTGAGGCAGCATCCAGGACCTCCTCGCCAACTCCCTGCTCATGCTGCCCTGGCCCAAGCTGCTTGTTGAAGGGGTTGAGGTGGGCCTGCCGGAACCGGGCCAGCTTCTCATCATATTCCATAGCATCCCACCTGCAAAGCCGTGGTGGCTGGGGTGAGCGCCCAGGTGCCAGACTCACCATGGACCATCTCTTTTCCTGCCCCCTGCCTCTTTCACTCTGCAACTGCCGCACACCATGGCTTGGACCCTACACCTCTCTCTAAAGCTCCCTACAGTCCCCACCCAGACACTGCCAGTGGCCTTTCCTCAGGAAAACCCCACTAGACAAGGCTGGCCCCGTTCCAGCACAAACACACACGATTCATCCAAGGGGCCCAGCCAATCAGAGCACCAGGGACCCAAGGTCCTGCTTCCAAGCAAAGGGGTTCTCTGGCCCCAGACACTGGAGAGCCCTAGCCCTAGGGCCACTTCATGGAACCCCTGCTGGCCACTAATACCAGCCACCTCCCTGGCTCTGTCCAGCCATGCCCCACTATAAGCCTGCTCCACGACCACACCTCCTAGAACTGGGTCCTACTTCTTGCCCTGACTAGAACTGCACCCCTCCCACCAAAGCACCCGGAAGCTAAGCTCAGTTTAGAGTACTGAGGGTAGGGGGCTGGGGATTTAGCTCAGCGGCAAAGCGCCTGCCTGGCAAGCGCAAGGTCGTGAGTTCGGTTCCCAGTACAGGAGAAAAACCAAAAAAAAAAAAAAAAAAAAAAAAAAAAAAAAAAAAAAAAAAAAAAGAAAATATAGAGTACTGAGGGTAGATAATCCACAGCCATGGTGACTTGGCCATACCATGGGAATGGGGGCTCACATCCAGATTCCAGGCTGCACTGGTACCTCTCAGCCTGCATTCCAGGTCTGAAGATTAATCCAACAATTACCTGAGTCATTGCCTGGCTCCTTGCCCTGGGCTTAGCACCTGCCAGAAGTCAAGGATCAATAATGCCCGCTCCCCTCCCTGGGGCTCTGCAAATGTCAAGGCATATGTCTGGCAGGGAGGAAGGGGTGCTGGTAGGGCGGGAACTAAAGTAGCCGGGCAATGTCCCACAGCCTCTCTCTGCCTCTGCCTCCCCTTCCATGAATGGGTCACTAGTGTGAAATTACTTCACAGACACTGAGACCAAAGAGCTCTCAGTAACATTTATAGTTATTATGGGATGCTTTTGTGGTGCTGGAAATTGAACCCAGAGGCATTGCTTTGCCACTGAGCTACATCCCCAGTTCTTTGTTTGTTTTTGCTTTAAAGACAGGGACCATGCTGGGCATGGTGGCACATGCCTGTAATTCCAGCACTCAGGAGGCTGAGGCAGGAGGATAATTGCAAGTCTGAGGCCAGCCTGGGCTACAAAGTGAGCTCAAGGCCAGCCTGAACTGCATAGTGAGAGACTGTCTCAAAAAACAAGAAAAAAAAAGAAAAAAGAAAAAAAAAAAAGACAGGGACCACTAAATTTCTTAGGCTGGCCTTGAACTTTTTGATCCTCCTGCCTCAGCCTCCTCACCAGGTTAGATTATTGGTGTCACCACACCACAGCTAGCTGGAAAGATGCTTTTTAAATGTTAGGTTTATGGCTACTGGTCCTGTTACAAACTGAAATAACTCATAATCATGTAAGACAAATTCCATGACCTTGCTTGCTCCTCCACCTAAAAGAGGGAAGGAATAGAGCCTAGGGGGTAAGGACCTGCCCAGAGTTCCTGCATGGGTGAGGAGCTGGGATGGAAGCGGTTGCCTCACTAGCAGCTGATGGAGGCCAGGCCTCCACACCTGGGGAGTATGGGTGGGGAGTGTGGGCTAGGCTAGCACTCCAGGCTGGAAAAAACTGGATGTCAACAGCTGGACCTGGGCCCAAACAGAAGATACCAAGGGGACACAGGAGTGGTGGGCTTACCACCCGATGACTATGGATACATAACACAAAGTGCTAAAGTCAGAGGCAGCCACCAATGCCCAGTGCTCCTGTGCATTCTCCGGATGGCCAGAGTGCAGGAGACTGAGCTCACTCCCCTTGTATTGGGAGTCCTAATTTTTGGTTTATCACATGATTTCCCAGTCTCCTCTGCAGCTATGCAGGGTAATGTGACTATGTCCTAACGACAGGATGTAAACAGGAAGATCACTAAGACTTCCGGGAGTCATTCTTGGGGGAGTGCTCCTCTCCAGGCGGTCTTCCTCCACCTGTCTGATCTGCAGGCATAATCACTGGAGAAAGAGCAGCAACTCTGGGTTATGACACAGAAGCCATATAAGGGGATGGCCAACTGGCAAGACTCCACCTGAGCACCAGTGTACATTCAGTGAGACGGAAATCAACCGTTTCACAACTCTGCTGTTAGGAGGGCGGGTCCTGTCTCTTCTAACCCAAACAACCTGACTGATCACCCCAGTTACTTCACAGTGGTAAGAGGGACAGGTCTAACAAGAGCCCCAGCTCCGCCAGCTCCTCCCTGTGACCTCTTGCCCATGCCTAAACCTACTCTGCTTCCAGGTTCTCACATGTCAAACGCAGGTTACAATAGCAGGGGTGTCATAAAGACCAAATTATCTAATACATAAACTTCGGAGAACAATGGCCAACTCATAGTAATCACCCCATAAATGTCAGCTTGTTATCACTCTACTATTATTTTTGAGAAGTAGACAGCTCTAATTTAAACTCTGGCTCTCCCAGTGATGAATCCCTGCACAATGCCACCCTCCTGCCCACAGTCGAGGCAACACCTGCTTCTAAAGGGGACATCAGAGTTAAGTATGCTTGTGATTCAGTGACGCCAGTACCCTAGAGTCACTGCTAAGCCAACCATCAAGGTCAACAACCACAAGGCATCAGTGAGCATGCAGGAGCCACCCCAGATCACCCTGAAAATCTCCTGGCCAGAGGGGTGAAAGGCAGCCCCTGGGAAGAGCACTACCGCTCTTAGGGGTAACTCTCCTCTGGCAGGCCCCCAGAAAAAGCATCTCTCACTACAGATGAAGGCACCAGTGCAGCCATTGGACCTCAGCGTTGGTTTCCCTCCCCCCAGGCTGGATAACCACATGTCCTGTCTGCTGGGGGCAGCTGGATGTCCCAACACATGGGCATAGGGGACAGCACCCTGACTTGGAGAACAGCACCAACCCTTCCTTCCACCTCCAGTTTCACCCCACAAAGCTTCACCCAGAATTCAGGCTTGGCTTCAGAAAGAAACAGGCAAGGAAGGGGAGACTGAGGCAGAAAAGCCCACAATCCCCCTCTCACCTCTCATGGGGGCACTCCACACCTGAGCCAGGGAGGAAATGGCCCAAGGGCTCCCGCTGAGAGGCGGACTGACACTCAGGGTGTGTCTCACCCCGCCCTCAGCAGGGCCAGCAAGACTCAGTTCCCACTCAGCTGCCGCCCGTCCTACGGAGGACAGGGTGTGTCCCACCTGCTCCCAGCTGGAACAAGGCCTGCCAGGGACAGGGCTGACATTCCTCTAGGGACCGTCTGCTCCGGAGCCATCTGCAGAGACGCCCAAACCTACCTCCTCCACCCGTACCCACAGCAATTCACTCTGGGATGACCTCGTCCTGCCAGGTCCCTGCCACCACCCCAACCATTTCACACAGCAGAAAACGAGGGTCCTGTGGGTCCCACAAGGACGGCCTGTGACAGTCGCTGGGTGGGGGACTCCCTTCCTGGGAGCCCTGCCCCAGGGGCTGCAGGTGGGCTGAGTCACTAAGCCCTGCAGTCTGGAGAAGGATCCGCGGTGGCAGCTGGGAGCCGCGACCCCAACATGCCCGAGGCCTGGGTCACTCCACACCGCGGGCCGCGCGGAAGGGCCCGTCCCAAGCACCGCCACGGCCCCGCCAGCCGGTTCCCGT